GCAGAAAACCTTAACTTTTACACAAAAAAAAATAAAAAATGTCAAAATTTGCATAGAACTTTAGCTGCCTAAAAACTGGATCTGCTGATCCTTGTGATATACTGTTTTCACTAAAGGTAAACTCCTGCTCAGTGTGAACGAGTCAGGTTTCTGACAGGTTCACTTTCAATTATAAATTTAGTCTATTACAGGAATGGTGCCAGAAAGCAAGTAGATTCAAAATAAAAGATCACACAATCTTTGCTATTTGTTATAAGACAAAAATGGTGTTCAATTGAACTGAATGGATAACTGTTAAAGCACGTTTCTCTTAAGGACAATGTGGTAATTTATTCCCCAGGAACAGTTCAGGGTATATTTGTTATACAAAGAGACTAACATATATAAAATTGGGAAACATTGCACAGATCTGAGTTATGTAGTGAAATACACTTCCCCAATTTTTGGTGTTATAAATCAGAAAAATGCACTGAAGTGGGGTACGTGCTGAAAAACGCCATTCACATATAAATACAAATAGAAGTATTGTACTTGCCCAAGCAATGTAATTCTGTTCAGCGACTTTTGTGATTCTCATACTGCTGCCAAACAATATAGCTAGAGAGTGAAGCCCACCATTCACTGTTGCAACTACCAGATACAAAACCACCACCTCTAGTTTTTGAAAGGCTGATGGTTCAGGTTGCCGCTCCTTCATAGAGGAATGAAAAAGCTGCAGATAAGCTTGTTATCAGCCTGCTCATCACCATACAAGTCTCCACATGGGTGCTCCTATAGATAAGTCAGACATTTGCTATTAGTGACTACTCCAACATCCACCTCTCTTTGCCATGTATGACTATGCTGACCACTCCCACCCCCCCTGCCTTTCCCGTGAATGGCCACTCCCACACCCCCCCTGCCTTTCCCGTGAATGGCCACTCCCACATCCCCCCCGCCTTTCCCGTGAATGGCCACTCCCACATCCCCCCGCCTTTCCCGTGAATGGCCACTCCCACATCCCCCCGCCTTTCCCGTGAATGGCCATTCCCACATCCCCCCCGCCTTTCCCGTGAATGGCCATTCCCACATCCCCCCCGCCTTTCCCGTGAATGGCCATTCCCACATCCCACCCCCGCCTTTACCGTGAATGGCCATTCCCACATCCCCCCCCCCCCGCCTTTCCCGTGAATGGCCATTCCACATCCCCGCTGCCTTTCCCGAGAATGGCCATTCCCACATCCCCCCTGCCTTTCCCGAGAATGGCCATTCCCACATCCCCCCTGCCTTTCCTGTGAATGGCCACTCCCACATCCCCCTGCCTTTCCTGTGAATGGCCACTCTCACATCCTCCTACCTTTCCCGTGAATGACCACTGCAACAGCAAGCTGCTCTTGCTGTGGGATTGGTCCTGCTTCCACCTCCTGCTACTGGATCCATGAGCAAAATGGCTGCTTTAGCTGTGATCAAAAGAGGAGATGTTTAAAATAACTGGACTATAACCAGAAGGCCTCCAAACCAGAAAATGATTGCAAATAAACAGGGAAAAGGAATTACAGTGACTCCAAAATCAGACTTTCTTGCCATACAGAATTTATCAAAAATATATTGAGCAGTCTATATCTAGTTCAGATATTCATATTTACACATTGGTAAAGCGTCAACAAATACTTACAGAAATATGTACAAAATAATAGGGAATAAAACGGCTTACTGAAATATTTAAAAAAGTAAAAATAGAAATGCAGCGATAAATTAAGCTTTCACAAACTGATAAGCTTACAACAGTCCACAACCGCTCTGAGGAAAATGCTGCTCTCACATTTATTTTTGCTTTTCTTCTTTTTTTAGTATTTACACAGTAAACTCCAATACTGAGAAAGTTATCATTTGCAGGTAGGTGAATTCCATAATCTGCATAAGGAAAAAAAATAAAAAGGAAAAGATTGTTAATAAATGGCATTAACAGGAAAAAAAACAGAAAAAATACTTTCAAACACTTAAAATGGCTGCAGCTGCCAATTTTCCAAGCTTCTGATACCACGTCAAATTCAGGTACTTACAGATCTAAATCTCCTAAAGAACCAGCCTCTTGTAGTCCTTTCACAGTACAACTTAGGCTGGGAGTCTTAGACTGGTCAATCAATTGCAATGCAGGAACATGCAGAAAGGATGATGACATATAAGCTCCTCCATATGCGGCTTCTCAGGACTGGATGAGAAGCAGCAGAAATCCTTTGCTAAGTTAAACAAGCCTCCCATTATTCTACTAAAGAAAAGCAGGTTTTTTTCTCTGCGTCGCTGTTGGAGACCTCCTTTGACTTTCTGTCTGCAGGATAGGATATGACGGTAAGCTCTAAGGGACCGTTTACACTTTGGATTGTGGAGGTGTAAAATCCCATGGCTGAGACGCTTTTTATTTTTTTTTACCACCCCTCAATTACCCCCCTCTTTTGCTGCAGAGGCAGCAGTGTACACGTTGTGACCGTGATGCTTTATTCACGGCCACTGCAGAAATTAATCTCCTTGTTGCAACTGCATAGAACTGGCGCAGTTGTCTGGTATTTAGGGGATTAGAGCAGGCAGCGAGGAGGCGATACAACTCTCTCATCCTCTCTGAAGAGCGATTTGCGTTTGTATAACTCTTCAGAGAGCAAAGCAGGTGTAAACAAGCCCTAAAAGGAACCATAGCAGCAGAAACCAGATAAGAGGTTTGTAACCTGTCCTGTACATACACTTAGAGGATAGATTCACCTATTATAACATGTTACACCCATATTCAGGGTGTAACATGTTGTGAATGGACTGGCCCCCACTCCCCCACTTTGACAGCAAGCAAGGGATCTTCTCTCCCCGCTATCAAAATTTAAAAAAATGTGGCCATGCAGGGCTCCACCGCCCAGCCGCGTCACTCATTCACAGTCTTCTGTGAATGAGAAAACTACATGTCCCGACAGCTTTTGCAACTGTTGGTTTGTAGTTCTCAATGAACTACCACGTCACTGTGAGTGCTGTGGTAGTTGATTAATTCTTCCAGTCAGCTTATCTGCTAGCCTGTAAATCCCGCATGGGCAAGTTGAAATACTGACAGGTCTGCAGGAGTCCTGCAGGGCACCAGCGATCTGTTGATTGCTGGTGCAATGCATTTATTTTTTGTTTTGGGAGCCTATAAAGCAATTTTTTTTACCTGCAAAAAAATATGCATTTATTATTTTTTGTCAAAAGATGAACTTATCCCTTTAAAAAATGAAATAAAAACACAGGTGTTTCTCATTGCAACCTGTATCCAGCATTATCTGCACTACTACTGCAGCTGGAATCTGAGAGCTTTCTGTAGAAAACTTAGAATTAATCTGCAGTCAGCTACAGTCATTAGAATAGCTAATAGTGCAGTATCGCCAAGGTAGTGATGGAAAGTGTATGCATTAATGGCTGTAGGAAGGAAGATGCATCTCATACCTAATCTATGAAATTGTTTCCCATAGAGAATTAACAGTGAAATTGTCAACAGCTCCACATTTTCTTCACTTTTCATATACCAGCTCCATAGCATTATTACCATTTATAATCTCCAAGGATGAAAGATGACCAGGAGCAAAATATAATTTCCCCCTTTAAAATTAACCTGGTCAGATTCACATGTAGGCTGTCATTACTGACCTCTACAATGGTGGTCCACTAAATGTCATGTCAATGTTATGCTTTAACACCAAGTCACCAATGTGGCCAAATGCAAATACTGGAGAGTGTATTAGTAACGGGGAATACATTGCACAAAAATCTGTACTTGCAAGGGATATTCTTTCATAATTAAAATGCAGTTCCAGTCTCACTGTGAAAAAATAAAAGTCAGCAGCTACAAAAACTGTAGCTGCTGACTTTTAAGAAACAGCCAGCCATTCACCTGTCCCTCGATGTCCTACCAGCAGCCAGTTTCACCAGCCGTCTGGTGTTCCAGGCACTGGCATCTTCGGTGTGGACACCTGGCTGTGATAGCTTGGGGCTTTCACAGCTGGGTACCCACTGTGCATGTGTGAGAAACGCTGTGCTTGCTGAATGGCCCCTTCGTCTTCTGGGACCTGTCACGTGTCCCAGAAGACTACAGGGAGGGAGGATAGGTGGACAACTTCCACTTCCAATCGCCTTGGCGATCGCAGTGGAAGTGGGTACCTGTCAATTTCAGATACCTGCTCCCCCCCCCCCCCCCTCCCTCTCCCCAAAGGTGCCAATCCTTAATGGGGAGTGGGGGATCATTCTTTAAAGCAGAACTTCCCTTTTGGAAGCTCTTCAGCTCTTTGGACACATCTAGTACATTCAGAACTTGGAGGTTAAAATGTTCTTCTTTTATTAGTAGGTTCAGCACTTATCTGCAAAAGTGATGTGGGCAGCTGTAGGGTGAGAGGATGGTGAGTGGGAGGACATCAGGGAATAGCTGTTCCCTGATCTCTTCTGCTGAGTGTGAACACAGGACTGCTCAGCTGTGAGCATTTTATGGTTCAGAGCTGTACAAAACGCAGCTGAAAAGCCCAGTAAACAGTGAATCAACCACAGATTGATGCTTGATCCACTGAAGCAGATGGTAGACCACACACGCCAGAGTGACAGCAATAATACTATCTTCCTCATTTATGTGGAATGAGGAACCTCGTCTTATTTTGTGCAAAAAAATGGGAATTATATTGTTTGTGTACACTAAAATACATTTTAGCGTACTAAAAAAAGAATTAATAAACAGTTGCGCAAATGTGTCAAACAGTACAAACAACTGCCATCTTTTTACTCAACCGGCCTTATGCATTCCGAAAATATACATTCTTTTGAGGGTTTTAAGTAATTCTTTTAGCCACAAATGCTCCAGAGTGGAAGTGGTTAAGGGAAAACTATAATGGTTTTGGGTCAGCTCTATTACCTTTTTAGTTTTAAAGTAGTGGCGCAATAGTTGATACTGCTGCAATGTTACCCAAGAAAAACATGTAGGACATTCTTTGTGAACAGTAAACGAAGGATAGACACTCACCAGGTTAATGGCTGCTTTGTCTCTGCACCTTCGGTCCAACACTTTGAGTCTCCTCTTCAGGGCTGGGACGTTTGCCAGAAGACACCACAGTGTTCATAGCATTCCTCCCTGAGCAGAAGGTAGACAAGAGTCATGTGTACCAGTTATGCCACATAGGAATTTGCATGTGTTCACTGACAAAAATATGGAGCCCAACTCTGCCACAATGTATACATATTACAAATACTATCTCTTGAACAGCTTTCTAAACTACAAACCACACAGAACAAGGTCTACAACCAGAGCCTTTACTTGCCTAATTCTGAAAAACCAGGGATGTCTAATAGACCGCTTTAACAAAAACAGCCCCCCATGTTCACTGTTTAAAAAAGCCAGTTACAGACCTGGGCAGGTGATCAGTTTTTTTCTTTGTATACTTTGTAGGTTCAGTGGGTGCACTGGACTCCCTAGCTGCCGTTGTGCAATATGCTGGGTGTCAGGTGCGCTCCCATAACCTTTTTAATGAAGGGTGGGGCTCCCCTCATGTTTATCTGCCCTTGTTTCTATCCATTTAAATGCATGTGCCTCCACTGTGAGGACTCTTTAGACTTGTAGAGTTAGGACCACAGAATATCAGGGTGCCGTGACGCGGCTCTGTGGCTTACGTATGTATTTGCAAATGTGTGCTAACTAAACCCGTTTTTAAAACGCATGTTTCTAGACAGGTTATTTTGGTTTTTGATAGTTGGCTAACTGGCTGACAGTTTGAACTGGCTTTACTTATCCCCCTTTGTTGATAAGATGTACATATCCTTGTTCCTTGCCAATAATAGCCGCTATTAGATTGGGGTAGGCTGGCAAGTTGAACTGGATAGTTCTACTTTTTTGGAAATTTTCTCACGTAGTGACAGCCCCCCATGTTCACTGTTTAAAAAGCCAGTTATAGACCTGGGCAGGTGATCATTTTTTTTTTCGCTTTAACAAAAAGGCCTCTACTGGACTGCAGAAGGAACTGGCACCTTTACACCAATACTACATGTTGCATACAATCATTTCCCAAAAGAGGTCCATAGTGCATTAAAAGCTCTCCTGGTTTACCGCATATTAAAAAGTTGTACTGCTTTAAGCAGATAAGGGTGAATTTTTTTTTCTTTGATACAGGGTACAATCTATCAAGGGCATCCCCACTGGAATTTCATGTTGTATCAGACGATTATGATTTATTATTAGAATACAGGATTTATATAGCGCCAACAGTTTGCGCAGCGCTTTACAATATAAGGGAGACAGTACAATTACAATACATTTCAGTACAGAAGGAATGTGAGGGCTGATGCTACGCCATGTAAATGCAATGTACTTTTAAGCATAAAATACCTTGTGTTAAGTAAGACTGCTGGCTGTCTCCATGGCTGTAATGCAGGATACTGCTCCCCTGCCAGTAACCTTGGAAAAATGACATTCAATTAGATCCCAATTAAATACTCACTGTTTTTATCATGAAGCAGAGCTTATTAACATTATTTATATTGTGCTTTGCTCCCTCAGTACGGATATCTCTGTACAAGGACATGCATTACATAAAATGTAGAGTCAGAGTAAAAAAGTAATGTCTGAAGAATACCATAGACTTAAATTGACTGCACCTTTAGTGCATTTTTGAACACATCCAGGAATGGAGCCTTTTAGACTGAAATGAGGATTAGTAAAGCATGGCTATTTGTAAGAAGGCCAATACACGGGTGGATTTCTGGGATCGGAGGAAATTACCGTATTTTTCGCTCCATAAGACGCACTTTTTCCCCCCAAAAAAGTGGGGAAAATGTCAGTGCGTCTTATGGAGCGAATATAAAATGGCCGGTCTGGTATTTCCGCCACCACCATGTCAGAATACCGGGCCGGCCGTTCAGCTGTTCTCTGCGGCAGGAACTCACCTGTTCCTTGGTCCAGCAGCTGTAGTCTTCCCGCGCCAGCTTCTCCCCGCCCGGCATCTGTGACAGCCGGGTACCCGCTTCGCATGCGCGAGAAGCGCTGCGCTTTGTGAATGGTCCGATGTCTTCTGGGACACGACAGGTCCCAAAACACGCCGGGCCATTCACAAAGCACAGCGCTTCTCTCGCATGCGCAGTGGGCACTCGGCTGTCAAAGTCGGGTGCCCACAGTATAGGAAGGAGAACTCCGCGGAAGTGGGAGCTGGTACCTGCCAAATTCAGGTACCCGCTCCCCCTCCCTCCCTAAAGGTCCGCAGTGTCTGGTCATGCCCTGTACTGTCCATAGTCTCTGGTCATCTCCTGTACTATGTCTGCAGTCCATTGGTTCAGAATAATTTTTTTCTTGTTTTTCTCCTCTAAAACCTAGGCGCGTCTTATGGTCAGGTGCGTCTTATGGAGCGAAAAATACAGTAAACTGGGATAAAAGTTCACTTTCATTTAAGAATTTATACAGCAAATATAATTACTACTTCCAGCATTTAGTATTAATTACTAATTGATATAACCACAGGTAATTATTTAGCATCAATTTATGTCGCCTTTTACATACTATGCATTCGCATCAGTCCCTGCATAAAAGGACAAGTTCACCTTTTGACCAAAAATAAAAAAAAAATGCACACTTTTTTGCAGGTAAAAAAGAAAAAGATTTATTTTTGGTTGCAGGAACCTGTAAAGCACTGCACTAGCAATGTGGGCCAAAAATTCGTGTTTTTTTTTAAATACTGTTCTAACCGTCTTTAAATTTGACTTTCAAGTCTTTTTTTTTTCCACCATTTAGAGCACCAGTCTAATATTCTTCCCAAATGTACCGGTCTCATTATTTCAAAGAATCTGGGAAACATACCTCATTTTGTCTTAGGGAGAGTTAAAATAGATCTCCGTAAGCCTGGCTCATTTACCCACCCATATAAAACTTCAAAAACCTTGCGCTTAGGTCCTTTAAGAAGCCCTGAGGCAATTTAATTGGTAGTGACTGTAATAAATAAATAACTCTGGGCATCAGATTCATTTTAATGATGTTAGTATGACCAAACCAAATGAACGATTCCTTGCCCCATCTCTGAAGATCTCCCTTGTCCCATCTCCTGCAGACCTGTCAGTATATCTGCATGTCCGTATGGGATGTATGGGTAAGCAGATACACTATCAGAAGATTCAATGAACTACCATGGCACTCGGGACTTTTAGTTCATTCAATTACAGAACACTGAATTAATAGGAACCAATGAATCTACCAGCATTTCCTTGGTGTTTGGCAGGATACCCACACAAGCATAGGGAGAACATGCAAACTCCATGCAGATAGTGTCCTGGCCAGTATTTGAACCAAGGGCTGCAGTGCTGCAAGGCCGAAGTGCTAAACACCAAGATGCTGTTGGTAACATTAGTAAATTAATTTGTATTTAGCTTTTTTTGAATTCAAAAACACAACTAGCAAACTAAATCTACAGTTGAACCACATACAGCATATGGTAATGGTTTCATATGTTTAAGGCTTTTTTAATTCTGAGCAGTCAGTTTTGTGATTCAGGTTTTCAACAGCACATCCACGAGTTACTGCAGAGGCAGAGTCCAGCTTCAGCCTCCTTACTGGATAATTGAGAAGTATCCTGTACTTCCTCTGCTCTCTCCATCAGCATCTTCCTATTCTACACATGTGCACCGCTGCATAGCCTGACTGGCAGCTAGAGTTGGACCTCCCTCTCTTTCTGCTTCCTGACATGGGGCATTGCAGGTTGATATAAGCACTAAATAAGGTACAGACAGTTTCATTCAAACTTTTGTAAATAACTGCATTACCGCTTGCCTACTGTGCACTTTTATCCCATTCTGCCCAAGCAAATTTTCAGCTTTCAGCACTGTTGCACTTTGAATGACAATTGCGCTGTCATGCAACACTGTACACAAATCAAAATGTATTTATTTTTAGACAAAATATAGATTTAATTTGGTGGTACTTAATCACCACTGGGTTTTTTATTAATTTTTTGCTAAACAAAAAGGAAAAAAATCCCAACATTTTTGAAAAAAAAAGTTATAAAGTTTTGTAAATTAGTGATTTTTTCTTCCTTGATGAGGGCACACAAAGCAATGATGGGCATGATGGAGCTGCACTGATGATCAGTGTAGATGCCCCCCTTTATACTGATCAGCGTGACTGGACACAGCTGATCACATAGTAAAAGGCAGCTCTGATTGGCCCATTACCTGGACACGTGATCCTCATAGCTTGCACATAGTCTATTAGACCTTAGACAGATGTCTCCACTGCCCTTAAAAGCATCTGATCACACCAATATCTGTGCGATCAGATGCTTTCCCAATTTAAAAATACCTGTTTACATACTACAAAACCTGAAGTGACAAAATACTCATTGCTTCTGGTTTCCTATACCAGAGATGATAGGGGACATTCTAGTTCATGGTCACCCCTATGGTAAAGCAAGGGAACTACCAGCTTCGGGATGGGAGAGACTGGAGAGGGACTAGAGGGCGATGTGGTGAGGTTGGGAATGATCCCCCTCTGCTGCCTATAAAAGCAATCCAGCGCCTAATTAGCTGCTAAGATTGCTTTTACAAAAACACAGAATCGCCCACAAAAAAAAAAAAAAAACACAATACTGGGGTGATGCCTGTAGTTGCAGACATCATCCAGGGATATACCACTGGAAACTGCAAACGTACATGTATGTTAGGCAGTCTTCAAATGTTTAGTTAAAGACTGTTCTTAACCACTAGGTGACTGCCCGCAGTACATATACTGCTATAAGGCGGCCCCTGTGCGCAGGATCACGTATATAAACGTGATCCTGCATTCCGGGGTAGGGGGCACGTGACCGCTGTAACCATGGCCCCGTTCGTGGCCGCGGGTGTCAATCACCGGGTCCTGGACGGTGATTACCCGCCGGAGCCCGGCGATTGCCGGCAAACACAGACTGGGAGGAAGGCTGCATTGTTTTCAATGGAGCTCTTCCTCCCTGTCAGCTTCAGCACACTGTTCCGGGATTGGGATCACAGCCTTCTGGGACAGTGTGTAACAGAGAGGTACACACCCCCGCGCCTCCTAGTGAAACACTCCCCTCACAGTTAACCCTTTCAGTGCCTCCCAATGTTAACCCCTTCCTCCCCAGTGCCATTAGTACAGTGTCAGTGGGGTTTTTTTTTTTTTTTTTTGCGCACTGATCACTGTGTTGGTGTCACTGGGGATGTCAGTGACCCCAAGTCAGTTCCCCCCAGTGTCAGAATGTCCACCGCAGTCCCGCCATAAGTCGCTGATCACACCTATAAGTCGCTGATTGCCACTATCAGTATAGAAAAAAAAATCCAGCATCTATACCGCCATTTGTAAACGCTATAACTTTTCCGTAAACCAATTTATTTACAGGTATTGGGATTTTTTTTTAGCAAAGACATGTCGCAGAATACATTTTGGTTGAAATGTATGATGAAATTTGACTTTTACATTTTTTAACTGGACATTTTTTATAGCAAAAAGTCCAAAATATTGTCCAAAAAGTCCATAATGCAGCTTAGAGGTTGTCAACTGCAGGCCAAATGGAAATGACCTCAGAAGTGTATTAAACTAATCCTAAATGCAAGTGGAATGCAACCACAAACATGCTACAGTTAACTTTCAACGCGAACACTAAAAGTAGTACTCTGTTAATTTACATGTTTGTATTGCCCCGTCATTTATGGCACTGCAGATTAATGAAGTTCCTTAAACAACGCAGCCAAGGTATGGACCTTACTGTCAGAATAGAGAATGTACACCAAAATTAGGATTTCTCATTTACCTGTAAAATCCTTACCTTAAAAGTATGTTACAGGCCACAGGATAAAGGTTTCCAGAACCAATGGATTATAGTGCAACCTTCAGGAGGAGAATTGGACACTGTCAAGCAAAGCTCCAAGGACTGCCAATAATAACCCCAGCTGTTCACAGCATGCCTGAGTTTACTAGCAAACCAGGAGCTAACAAGCCTATAAAAGACAAAAAGAAATCCTCCTGCGCTAAAAGGGAAGTTCACCTACTGAAAGCTGCCAGCACTTAACCTGCTACCCAAAACAGTGTATATAATAATTAAAAATTACAAATAGTGCAGCGCTCAAAAACAATACGGACTCAAAAAATACAATAAATGTGCTCACATGCAATAGTGTCACAAAATTATTCAAAAACAAATCATTAAGTGAGATATCTTCATTATAAAGTGCCACTCAGTATTATTCTCTATCACATTAGTACCCACATATTCAAAAAATAACTACCCCTTGAAAAAAAACTATTTTCACAGTGCTCCAAGTGTAATTACGTGACCACACTTTATATACTACTCAAAAAAGTCCAAAAAATTGTAGAAATGTCCATAAAGAACTGATAATAATAAATTCATGCAATGTGCAAACAAAAGTGCAAAAAAAATGTGTTCATATTCCACAACCGTGCCACTCTTCACCTCCTAAGGCTAGATTGCCTCCTCACCTCCTTAAAACGACCCCTAAGGACCAAACAGCTTTCAGGATCACTCTGGATCCTTATCCCCTGGCGACAAGCACTTCTCCTGACGTTGTGGATCACTTTAGGGGACATCCATTACCCCCAATCGGAAGCCTCTGGAGAACAATTGCTCACCAACAGGTAGAAGACTCTTGTTATAATCTCCTGTTTCAGCTTCAGTTTATAACTCCACTTTGTCAAAGTTCAAGCAAGCAAAAGGTGGGCCCACTTTTGTTTGCACATTGCATGAATTTATTATTATCAGTTCTTTATGGACATTTCTACAATTTTTTGGACTTTGAGTAGTATATAAAGTGTGGTCACATTATTACACTTGGAGCACTGTGAAAATTGTTTTTTTCAAAGGGTAGTTTTTTTTTTTGAATATGTGGGCACTAATGTGATAGAGAATAATACTGAGTGGCACTTTATAATGAAGATATCTCACTTAATGATTTGTTTTTGAATAATTTTGTGACACTATTGTGAGCACATTTATTGTATTATTTGAGTCAGCATTGTTTTTGAGCACTGCACGATTTGTAATTTTAAGCCTATAAAAGGAACATCCACCTGGTAGAACATCAAAAATGTGAAGACCAGGTGGCAGCTTCACAAATCTAAGCAACAGATGCCCATTGCTGAAAAGCCCATGAAGCACTAACAAATTCAGCATAGTGTGCTTTGACCAGAAAAGTGGAAACCTTGCACTTGAGGCAATAATTCAGAATGATGAGCTGCCGAATACACTTAGTGATAATAGAATGTGAACCAGGCTGTCCCCCCCACCACAAAAAAAAAAAAAATAAAAATGACAGCGTCAGATGGCTGAAAGGCCTTTATGGACTTCACATCCCATCTTTCTGGTACATCAACATCACCTGTTCTTTGCTGTGGGCATATGACATTACCATTTTGTGGCCTTTCCCTTTGGCCTGTCCACTGCATCTCAGGTCTCCATGAAGATGCTAGCCCCTGTTATTGTTGGATATCCAGACAACCTTCTTCTCCAAGAACAATCGATGCAGGCTCTATCAGTCAATGTCTTTCAATTTGTCCAGACCCAACAGAGGTTCAGGTGGATCTTAAATCTCTAGAAGTCAGTTATGGAACCATTTAATCTCTTAGCATATCTGGGCATGGCCCTGGGTCCAGATCTGTTCAAGGTCTTCCTTCCACAGGAAAAACACCAGTCTCTACAAGCCAACTAACCCTCCGCTTTTTTGCCCCTGATGGTGACCTCCTTATAGGCAGTCCTATATGACCTGTGCTGCTGCATTTGCCCGATTCCCAAAACCAGGTTTGCCAGATAAAAAGTTTGGTGCTTCTGCTCAATGGACGCCAGCTTGTTGGGCTGGGAAAGAGTCAGACACCTTCTTACTGCAAAAGACTTGGTCACCAGAGCAAGCTCGTCTCCTGAACAACATTCTGCAGATCAGGGCAATTCAGTTGTCCCTTCAACTTTGGACCTCATCTCTGGGGTCATACAACCAAGACTTAAACCTGAAAATGTCACAGCAGTGGCTTATATCAACCATCTAGGGTGGGACCAGAAGTTTTGTAGGTCAAATAAAAGCAGAATTGATAATCGCTTGTGCAGAGACATGTTTCAGCCCTGTCCACCGTGGCTTCCAGTTTCAACAAAGTAGACAGGTTTGGCTCCACCAGGTCCAGGGATTCTTTGGCCTTTTGGAGGGATGCAGGACTGAGATATAAGGAATTCAGGTGATTCTTTCTGCAGTGAACTGGCCCACATGGCTGAGGTACCTCATCTCGTTCCTGGCAGACTCTCCATGAACGTTCTGAGATCTTTTGCTCCAAGGACACCCTGCTTCCTGCTCATTATCTTGAATGAGTTGGCTAATGGCCTGTTTGATTCTCACAAAGACAACCACTGAAACTGGAAAGAGTATTTTTTGCAGTGCAAACAAGGAAATACTTGGTACAATTCCTGTCTTTTCTCCAGTCTGGTCTTGATCAACATCTAGCCTTTCGTAAAGTCAAGGGTAAAATCTCCCTAATGATTCTCTTTCAGAAATCCCTTGTGAAGGCTGTGGCTCATACGGTTTCTCTCGATTGACTCCATGGGATCTCATACTTTTTATATCAGCTGTTGTGGTTGCCTCTCTCATTTTCATCACTTCTGTAAAGTGAGTTTCTGAGTTGGTCGTCCTTAATCTGTAAGGAACCCTTTTTTGTGTCACATGGGGACGAGGTTAGTTTTAGCCACAGGGCCTCCTTACTTCAACTCTGCCGTACCTGAAGGTCCTCATAGGTGCAGCAGACTTCTCATTCCACTATCGCCAGGTGGATTTATCAGCTCATCATTCAGGCTCATCACCTCAGTGGCAAGGTGTGCACTTTTACAGTCAAAGCACACTCTACTAGATTAGCAAGTGCTTTGTGAGCTTTTCAGCATCAGGTATCTGTTGCTCAGATTTGTAAGACTCTCACCCGTCCTCTGTTCAGGCCTCAGCTTATGCTGGCTTCAGTCCTAAGGTTCTTCAGGCAACACTGTCCGTTCCCTTGAGCAGTCCTTGTTAAACTGTTGGTTTGTTCCTTGTGGACAAGTTAGCCTTTCATTTGCTATTGTTCATTGCTCAGTTTGACTGCTTTTGGACATCCCATTGGATGAATACTTCACTGTGTTCTGTAATGTATGATTAAGAAAATAGGATTTTTGTATTGCCTGTAAAATCCTTTTCTTGGGAGTACATTACAGGTCCCAGGCCCTCCCCTCTGTTCTTAGGATCTACCCCTATCAATTGCTACTAAACCAAGGCATGCTGGGAGTTGAAGTTATACTGGGCTGTTATTACAGCTCTGATCACCAGTGTACAATTTTCCTGAAGTTAGGCATATAACCCATAGATTCCAGAAGAATTTGTCCTGTAATGTATGAAAAGGGGCATTTTGTTATATTTTCTCTTCACATACACAGGTGGATTATTTATGAATTAGACAGTCACAAGATTTTCCTGTGAGGAATTGTACCAGATTCACACAGCTGCTGAGATAGGGGTATAGGATTGTCTAGATCAGCCTCTCTCAACCTTTTCAACACAGAGGAACACTTGAAATAACTTTCTGGTCTCAGGGAACCCCTGCTAAAAATGACTATATCCACAACTCATGATACATTAGTGTGATGGTCAGTGGGAAGAATGATCCTTACATTTGTGGTCATTGGGAAGAATTACGCCCTTAAAAATTGCTAAAAAGATCAATGGAGTCAGTGGGAACTTATCTGAGAAGCAGAAATTGCTCATGGAACCCCTAGCAACCTCTGGGGGAACCTTAGGGATCCATGGAACCCTGGTTGAGATGGTGATTTCTGATTAGCTGCTATGTATAAAAGCATCATTTTTTTATACTGTGCTATTATAAAAGCAGGTTAGTAACTTTTTTTTTACCACTAGATCTAAATAATTGACATAAAGGAGAGGTACAGCTAAAGCGGGTGCAGAGCAGAGGGCGGTGACTGACAGCCCTGCTCTCTGCTCAGAGTGGCTGTGAGAACTCAGCAGTCATGTGATCGCCGAGTTCTCACACTTACCTAGGTGGATCCCCTGTCGGCTGTAAGTATAAACTGGAGAAATAAAAAACAATTTTAAAAAAAGCCTGTACTTCTCTTTCAATGTTCTCACTACTAGCAGAAAAAATATGGAGAGAGCTGAGGTTAGTACCTTGAATTCCCCCGATCCCAGTATGAGACTCTCCCTGGCTGCTGTTATTAGGATTGCTGGTGGACGCTCCATCACTGGCTCCCATCTGAGACCCTATGGAGAGAAGCACCAGATTATATGCTGCAACAGAAAATGGCTGCATCAATGACAAATAGAGTGGGCAATAAAAATTAAGAGGTAATATTTAATAATATGTTCCTCTCAATGGTTTCTCCAGCCTAAATCACTTCCAGTGCCCTTAAAATAACTCATGCAATTACTTTTGCTATTCCATCTAACAGTACTAGCGCATAGAAGATGTTGTAAGCTCTTGACTGCAACATGAAAAGCCATTTATAATGGTCAGGATTTAAAAAAAAAAAAAAATTCTGGTCATTTAAGGAAGGAAAACCTTCACAAAATCACAATGTATCCCTTTCTATTGTAATAATGTGGTGACATTGGGAGTTAATCAAACCTCTACCTGCACTCCTAACCAATTCCTATTCACTATTTGGAGATTAAAAGAGAAGAGAGCTTTTTTAAATCCTTGGTGCCGAGTGTACACAAATACGCGGCCTCTTGGTGGCTGGGCCTTGGAGCCAAGAGGCCACATATTTGAGTACACAATGTAAATAAAACGTGCTGAGAGTGTGCATCTTCAAGCTCCAGGCTTATTTACTGGCATCTCGCTTGAAAGGTCCCGATCGCTACTTGTGGTCAGGAGCTCTCTGATCATATGACCACCGTGACACCCAATCCTCCCCCGGCATCAAAAACCCTTTTAAAGGGTCGGGAGGTGCCGGCGTCAAGGGGTTAATCATACGTCTGTGGGTCACAGGAGCTCAATTACTTGTGCAGTCCTGTGACACAGAATCCTCTGATTCAATGTCGAAATCCACCCAGATGCCTAACCAGCAGCTGGCTCAGCCTCTCAGCACGCCGCTGAGAGCCCAAGACAGCCGCTCCAGCTCCCTCTTCTCAGCCTCAGTACTCCAGCGAGAGCTGCATGGGCACAGCAGAGAGCAGTGACTGGCAATCACTGCGGTCTGTTTAGAGCTGACCAAGAACTGAATGATCCATGGTTCCATTAGAGAGCCAACAGGGGTTCTGATGCTGCAGCAGGGAGGTGAGTATGTGTGTTTTTTTTTTTTTTTTCCCTAAACCCATACTTTTTTTTTTTTTTTTTAAAGTCAGCCAACACTGTGCACACATGCTAGCCAACAGACATGGTTGTCCCTAACAGCTCCATTTTCTGATTACCAATCAGTATGCTTCTCAATCATAAGATTACTAGGTTATCTAAGACATCATGGTCACATGCAGACTTTCAATCGTAAAATAAGCCTTCAGCCTACAGTGCGAAGACAACACTGTGCCTCTGTTTAATACTGTAATTGCCAAAAACGAAAAAAACAAAAACCCCCCAAAAAAACTTATTTGGACCAATGTAAAGCCTACAATTAAAAACAGTGTGTGGTTTTTATTTAAGGATACATTCACCTTTTGGGAAAAAGTAGATGCACATATTTTTGCAGGAAAAAAATAATGTGCATTTATTATTTTTTTCCCTAAGGAGCCTGGAGAGCATTGCACCCATGACCTGTGAATTTCAGACTCCTACAGACAAGCCCCGAGGTTTTCAGCCTGTACCTTTACAGGCTGACAGTTAGCAAGCTGCAGGGCTTCTGAATGAACTATGAGGCTTCTCTTCAGCAACCTCGCAGTTCATTCAAAACTACAAGCCGGCAGCTGCAATGGCTGACTGTAGTTGTAGTTCACGCATTCACAGGAAACTGAATGAATGACGCAGCCGTGTGGGTGGAGCCCCGCAAGGTCGCACGACTTTTAAATTGTGACAGAGGGTGCGGGGAAGATATTCCCGGGCTGCTGTCACAATGGAGGTACGATTGGGGGAACTGGCTGCTGGGGCTCGAACAGGTTATACGTGCCACCCTAAATATAGGTGGAACATGTAACATTTTCCAGAAGGTTAACTTCTCCTTTAAGTAGTGTAACAAAATAAAAGCCTAATGTGTATTTTAAAAAAGTAATTAATCAAGCAAATTAGTCAAAACTCTATACTCAAGTTAACCAGCATATACTGATCCTGTTAAATTTTGCCTGGCTATCTAGGCTTTAATGAATCCTGGTCATGTAAGGGTGACTGAAGCATGTACCGTCATGCTTTAAGTGTCTGTTCGCGCCATCAGATTTGAAAATGCATTGGTGTTTAGTTGAAAATGCATAGACAATTATTAACCTGGAGCAATAAAATGTAAACAGAATACAAACTTTGTTTTGCATGATTTTTAACCACGTCTGCAAATAGTTGAAATCATATACAAGTAAAAGTGCATATTGCTTCAGGCCCCATTTACCTGACCGAGTACTGCCATATGCCATGCAGGGCCATGTTCTGCATATATAGGACAGGGATGCACAGGTGTTGTGTACATTCCCATATTGGCAGACTCACAGATGTCTATTTGGACATATAACTGCAAAGCCGCACGCCGTGTCCCAATGTGACATCCAAGCAGGTGTATGTCTCCCAAATTCACCTTGGGTAGGAAGTAATTGGTCGTGTGAATGGGGCCTTAGTGTCTTGCTAATGACTATATTGTGACAGAAAGGCTGTGAGTTTCCTAAAATTGCACTGACGTTGTGTTATCAGCGGAGATGTAAATAATTCTTTCAACCTGGTGGGTGGTAGATTACCTCCGTTGTTGCTGCATCCTGGCATACTTTCGCCTGGAGAGTAACTCATAAGTCCACCATTCCCATTTCCGTTTGGATTTGAAGGCACTGATGCAAGAAGTCCTAGAAAAAAAAAGAAAAACATAAAAAAAAAAAAAACAAACAAAGACTGTCAAGAGTCTTGATGTAACACCATTCTATTCTAGAAAGTCTATTGAACCAATATGTTGAGAGAAGGGTCACAAATGAATACAAGCAAAAAGTATCAATGCGGTTGAATGTGACTCACCAAGTCCTCTGTATCGGGAGAGTTGCTGGTAGATCTGTTTCATCCGTTCAATATTCAGACGACTGGCCTCCGCATGGTTTACCATTGGTTTGGGATAATTTACCCCAATTATACATTTTGCGACTTTTTGCACTGCCTCAGGAGCATTCCAGGGGTCGTAGATATACTTTGGAGGGAATCCTTTCAAAATCGGCAAGTAACGACTTAAAAAAAAAAAAAAAAAAAAAAAACACAACAATGAATATACTACCACTTTGGGCAGGGCTTCAAGTGTCAAAGTGAAGTGCTCAAAATCCACAAGCAAGTCAGATTAATGAAAGAAAATCTGGTTGCTTAGGTTACTGCAGCGTGTCACTGCTCTCTACACTAACGTACCAAGTCAGAGATCTTCCATATGAGATACAATTACAACACATTGATCTGATTTAAAGCCTAACTCTAGCCACAACTTGGGGGTTTTCTGTAGCAGGAAGGTGTTTAAATATCTGTAAAGTAATTTCCCCCCCCCCCCCCCCCCCCACTTCTTGTTCTTGTAACACCAGGACAAGAGATATGAGGCAGCCGTATTCAGCACAGGAAAGCACACAGAGCGATAAAATCACTTTAAAAAAGCTTTAACAATGTCTCATGCCACAACCAACATATTTTTTTTTTTTTTAATCTGTGTCCTATTGGAAAGAGACTCCTTTGTCGATAGTTGGGCTTTAACACGTATTTTCAGGTGTTTTAGAATATCCTCTTTCAATTCCGTGGACACAATCCACTACAGCTAGTGGATTGTGGACACAATCCACAATCCACTACAATCCACTGCACTACACAATCCACTACAGCTACTTAAAGCTTTAGCAAATGATTACAACAAACGGTTTTTCTTACCGGATGTAATCCCCATTAGGGTCAGTTCTTCTTCCAAACCCAACTGGACAGTAACAGTGGAAAAACTGCTGGAAGAAAGAGCTGCAGGACAACCACATCCAGCTGCCAGCATTGACACTCCAATCGGCATCCAGTAAAAGCTCTTCAAAGACCTGTGTACACAGAACAGAAGAGAATATATTGGTCAACCTCACATCATTAAGTATTGCTTAAGAAGCAACACAAACTGCCAAAAAATATTAAAAGTAGACACAAACCCCAGCTGAGTGACAGTTTGTTTTCTAAATCACGGCGATTTTTTTTTTTTTTTTTTTTTTTTAGATCTGCCTCTGTCTTCAATGCAAACACTTTGAGGTTGATTTACTAAAACTGGGAAGGAGCAAAATCTGGTGCAGCTTTGCATAGAAACCAACCAGCTACCAGATGTTTTGTCAAAGCCTAATTGAACAAGCTGAAGATAGATGCTGATTGGCCACCATGCAAAGTTGCACCAGATTTTGCACTCTCCAGTTTTAGTAATTCCACCACTCTCTGTCTACATGTACTCACTCCAGCAGCAGCTGCAACTATTTCTGAAGGAGGGCTTCCTTAATAGACAAGGGAGAAACGTGCTGGACAACGAGAATCAGCAATACCACTCAGACTTATGTGCTGCAGATGTAGCAGTTAGCGTGTAAGGACAAACCATCACTGGCAGGAGTGCTTACAATGATCCGCTTTTAGTTATGTAGGCACACCCCCCCCCCCCCCCCCAAAAAAAACACAACAATTTTGTTGTAACTGCCTAAAAGGTGTAAGCTAAAGTCTGGCTTCATTTGTTAGTGTATACAAATCTGCTAGTGCATCCACCCCCCACCCTTAGACTGACAATGTTGCTGTCCAAAGGCGTGTTTCTTCATTGAGAGCATAGGCCCCCTAAGACAAGAAAAATGACTAAGAATAAAAACAAATGCAGCCACTACACCTAAGGATTGGTAAACTCCAGTATGTTAAATTGTTGGTTTCCTATTGCTTTAAAGCAAGCTGTAGATCTAAAAAGAATGAAAATGGCTTGAAATGACATGTTAAAGATTTTAAAGCCATTTTAAAAAGTTTATCTCCACCTTCAGCAAAAACAAAAAGGGAAAAAAAAATTCTGGGTTCTAGTGTTGTCCCTTTTCATCTCTCAGATTGCTACTAATTTGATGGATTACAGGAGGTTGGCATCAAGCAAGATTCAGGTACTTTTACTAGTGGTATGCATAAAAATACTTTGAATTACTTTCAAAAGGACTCAACTTCATTAAAAGGGTCCTTTCACATGGGTGGACTCGTTTAGCGTATCCGCTTGCTCAGCAGGGGATCTCTCCACTGATCCCCACTGAGCAAGCGGATGACAAATCTGTGTCTGCTCCACTGCTGCAGAGCGGACACAGAGCAACTTGCTGTCCTCAATGGGCAGTCAGATGGAAACGGACCACCTGTGTTTCCATCCGACCCAAACCAGCAGACAGAAGGAGAAATGGATCCCCATCCAACTCTTTTTTTTTGTGTGTCGGATTGGATGTCAGTGGGTGTAAACCCACTGCTCCATAGAGGGGAATGTCGGTTCCGATTGGGTCCGCCTGCCTGTTTTTCAGGAGCACCTGATCAAAACATCCATGTGAAAGGGGCCTAAATGAACTTTTTAGCACCTCCCTGGAGTCTTCAGAGCTCATCCTCCCTTCCCGACAGGTAACCTATTTCCTTGCCACCACCTCTCACTAAAAGACTTCTTAAGACCTTGATTAACCCAATAGCAACATCTGCTGCTTGTCAACCTTCAATATATCAACTTCCATAAACAAGTCAGGCCATGGGTCCCTTTAGAAAATGTGAGTCACCAAACGATTAATCAGATTTAAAAATGTCAAAGATATCACTACACAGAGGACAGTGGGTATCCTATTACTTTATGGAGATCTGACACTAATTGCTTTTTATATTAAGCTTGTTCAAAACTCACACTTTATCTGATGTGTCACCTATGCCATTTACAGAGAATGGAACTCTGACAAACAAATGATATATCCTACTGTGAAACTAGATAGCACTATCTGCTCCCTATCAGCACATGATTAAGCTGTGTGGGTCAGTCTAAAGTGGGAGACACATAGGAAGCACTGAATCCAACATCAAATCCATCTGACCTCCTACATCCTTCGGTTTAGAACGTCAGAACAAGGTCGTTTCTTTCAAAGCAGATTTGCCCCCGCACACCCAAAAATAAACTACCAGTGTTTATATCTGGGGATTTTCAGGATCAGTCAAAACATTCATCTTGAAAATGTACAGCTATATATAGCTTTACTATTTGTATATGAAAAATAATGTTACCCACAGGTTAGATATTTTTTTTCCCTTGTGCAAACACTCCGAAAAGACACATGCACATAATATACAGGAAAGAAAACGGATTCGGGGTTCCCGGCCTGCTGGGAAGTGTGTGCGCACCATTATATGTACATCTGTTCTTAATGGATGCTATTAAAAAACATACCATCATTATATTCACTTACTTTCCATCCAGTAAAATGTTGGCCGTGAGACCTCATCAGCAATGCACAGCTGCTTGTCAAAATCCCTCTGACCAGACTTGACCATTTGCTCTCAATCAGTCCTCTGAAGGGCTCTATAGTACAAGTCTGCACTTGACCAGGACAACACAAGACACTGTGCAGCACTGATGAGGTCACAGTGCCAATATTTCACTAAATTAGGGAGATACAGACACAGGTTAAAAGCATAAAAGAAAATTGTCAGCAGTAAAGTTTAGTATAGTAGTATTCTTGTCCTTTATTCGCATAAAGCAACAAGCATCATGGCATCTTACTTCCTTAAAGTAACTGTAAAGGATACAAAAAAAAAAAAAAAAAACATGTCATACTTACCTGCTCTGTGTAATTGTTTTGCACACAGCAGCCTCAATCCTCCTCTTCTCGGGTACCCTGCCAGTGCTCCTGGCTCCTCCCCCTGCCGAGTGCCCCCACAGCAAGCCGTTTGCTATGGGGCACTCATACAGGCTTGACTGACACAGTGTGGCTCGGTCCCACCCCCTACTCACAGGATTTGATTGACTACAGCTGCCTCCATGCTCAGGGAGGAGGAGGGAGAGAGATGCTACTGCTGGGTAAAGGGCTGGGTGGAGATCAGGCTCATTTAAGTATTTGAAGGGGCTGCGGGGAGCTTAACACAGAAGGTTTTTACCTTAATACACTAAAAAGGTGTTTAAAAAAAAGCAAAAAAAACTTTCTGCCTTTACAAACACTTTAAGACTGTATGAAGTACCATCACCTAATTCACTACGGCTCCCTGCATAAACTGTGAGCAATCCTGTAAGGTGTGTGATGAGTACAATACAGCTACAGTTTAAAGATCTGTCATTTTTATTGTACAGTTACTGATGTCCCATGTTTCCAAGTGCTTTATAATCCAGATTAGGAGGTCCAATCTGCCTCCCTTCCCCTCCTGTCGTGGCTGATCTGACAACAGCAATGAAGGAGATGACTAATTCAAAGTTGCCACTTGTTTTAGATGGCAGAACTTACCAAAGATAAGCTAACCCCTTGCAATCCTCTTGCCATTGCTCCTCTCAAGCAAGTGCTCACAGCTGATACAAACTGTAGTTATGAATCAGCAGTCTCCTTCATAGCTGTTGTTGGATGCGGACCCTCCAGGGGAGGGTAGAAAGCACCTAGTAACATGGGACAACAGGAGACAAAACTGCAAAATAAAATTTATAAGATTTTTTAGGCGCAGGAAGCTCAAAATGCGCACATACCCATAACTTTGCAAAAATAGTTTTTCTACGTTGCCTGGGAAAAAAAACCTCCAATGCAGTTGTAAGCAGAAGGCCACAACTTCTGACTTTAGCGCTCAAGAACTCCCTCCTGCATTTCAACTATTCAGCAGGGAAGCATTCATATGTTTAGGAAGGGCAGGAGCTATATGAAGTATAGTACCCCTGCTTCTTGTACGCATTAAGAAATTATTGATGCACTGTTAAAAGTAGAAGTACAAACAAATAAGAGCACACACTAAGCATAATAAAGTTAAATACTTTCATGTTAAAATCAAATGTGAATTGGCCACTCACAAAATTAGAATAGAAAAAGCATGTGCTTAACACTCCCAGCATGGACGCCTGTGTGTTCACACTTGTAGTCTGGGTAGCAGTGCTATCAGATGGAGGAACAGCTGCAGCAGAGGACAGACCAGAGCACTGTACACAGGCACATTGTGTTGCAACCCATTGATTGCCCCAGATCTGAACCCCTTCCTGCCCAGTGTCAGTGTAGTGTCAGTGCTTTTTATTAACAATGATCACTGTATTAGTGCCACTAGGGATGCCAGTGACAGTTAGTTCCCCCCCCCCCCCCAGTGTCAGAATGCCCACCGCAGTCCCGCTATAAGTCGTTGACCGCCACCATTACTAGTATAAAAAAAAATAAAACAATTTACACGTATTGGGATTTTATTTTTATTTTTTTTTTTAGCAAAGACATGTAGCAGAATACATTTGTGGCCTAAATTGATGACAAAATTCGATTTTTTTAATTTTTTTTACAGGATATGTTTTATAGCAAAAATTTGTTTTTTTTTTTTTTTTTAAATTGTCTGTCACCAAAAGAAAGCTCCATTTGTGGGGGGAGGGACAAATTTAATTTGGTTTGGGTTTTAGCGTTGCATGACTGCGCAATTGTCAGTTAAAGGAACGCAGCGGATAGAGTGAAGCTAGATTAGAACACCTGTCAGTTTTTGTTGTCTGTGCTCGTGTTGGGGAAATTCTCCTCTTTTTGTCCTGTTTACCATTATCATTGAAAAATAAAGTAAAAGAAAACCCCAAATTTTAGGTTGTCTCCAGAAAAGTAATAGTGGGGAAACTTTCCAATGGGGACACTAGCTCTGGTGACCTGGGGGGTCCCCATGAAATTCCCTCAATTTGCAGAGATTCTCACTTCCTGTTTTGGCTAAGGCACAAGAATTGAAGGTATAGCTCCCCAATGGGACACAGATGGCAAAAAAAAAAAAAAAAAAAAAAAAAAAAAAAAAAAAGGAAAAATCTGGCATGGATTATAACCCTCCCTTTGCTCTATCCAAAATGAAAAAAAGAAAAAAAAAAAAAAAAAAGAAAAAAGTTTTGCCTTTAGTTCTACTTTAATGCCTTTTGGAAAAATCAGATTTGCCTTTAAATAAAAATAAATCATATTCTGCTTCTCTAACCTACTAAAAAATACAGCAACTGTGTGATTTGAAGTTCTGTGTTATACAATCACAGCAAGCTAGTAACATTTAACTTGAATGTAATTTCTCTCATGTGTTATCCTCACTTATAAACATGCCTGGCAATTTTCTAGGTTGTGGGTCCCTGCTGTGTACAATAAAAAGCAGTTTCTTTGAGGTCATGGAATACTGTGCATAAACACCTCTTTTTTTATTGAAAGCATAACTGGGTTATTCACAAGCCAGTTCATATACATATTACCAATGATCTCGAATCAGTGTACATCTGGATGTTTAGGATACTGAAATAGACACTTCAAAGTTCTTGATGCATTGATTTTTCCTAAGTCTACAATGTATATCAACAGAAAAACAAAATATATAGTACAGATGTTATGAATACAACTGGTGCCAGAAATAAAAATAAAATCTACGATTGTCGCACATTTACAGTATATTATGGCAGTGTTGTGGCTGCTGGTCGGGGCTGGGTTGTGCTACTGCTGGCTTGGCATATTTTGAATTACCCTTGGCTGTGACAGGGTGGACATTACAGTTTACCTTAAAGTGTTACTAAACCCACAACAGTAAAATCAGTCTGTATATGCAATAAAGCATGCTTGTTATACTCACTGTGAAACCTAAGGGTTTACTCTTCTGCATTGTCTAAAAAGGCTGTTTGATCCTGACTTCTCTGATCCTCCCCTTCTTCCAGTGTCTCTCTCTTATCTCCTGATGAGACATATCATGTGGAGACATTGCACATGCTCAGTTTAGTATGAATTGCTAGAGTTTTTTTTCTTTTTTCTTTTTCTTGGGAGTGCATGTGATCAGCACAGGGTCAATCAACACTGCCCAGACAGAGATCAGAGGTTTTGCATCCCCCTAGAGAAAAAAAAAAAAAAAACTCCTACTACAAGCTTTAACCAGTGCTCTGCTGGACACTGATAGAAGTCACAAGACTGCTCTAACTGCTCATGAGAAAAGGTATTTAGCAGTTTATATTTACTAACATAATTGCATTTCCATGTTGTGTGTACTGTGGGAGACCAGATATAGTAGTGAATGCAGGGTCCTGGCTTTAGTAACACTTTAATGCACCCCTTCCCAAGTAGCACCTTTACCTCACTTCCCTGTTTCTCCATTTAGCTACCAGGAACAAAGCAAATACTTTGTACTTCCAGATATGAAGGCGCATATGAAAATAAGTGGCCAAACATCAAGTACCAGGAATATTACATGGATACCAGCACTTACAGAGTGGCTCCTCCATCACCCAGGGGCTGAATGGCATTAAAAAAGGTGAGTTATGTGCTGCATGGAGGGGAGGGGAGAGAGAAATGTAAACAAACTGGTTTCTTGTTCCACAAAAGCAAAGCACAGGTCCACTTAAAGGTAGCCATACATGTAGCAATAGTATACCTTCATGCCTTCTTCCCAGCTTATCCACAGGTCACCTCTTGTGAGAAAGCAAGCCACAGCATGTCGTGCCAGGTGATGGATCCAGCCTTCTTGTCGGAGCTGAGTCATGATAGCATCGATCCATGGAAAACCTGTCCTGCCTTCAGCCCACTTGGCCAGGGCCTCAGGGTTCCGATCCCATGGAATCTGGACGCATATGGGGTTTCCTTCCATCTTATCAAAGCGTGGGTTGTTTGTGGCTGCAGTATAGAAGAACTCACGCCACAGAAGCTGCCCATAGAGAGAGAGAGGAGGCGAGCTATTTTTCTTCACCTAGACAGAATAGATAAAAAGGGGGCAGGAGGCAAAAACAAAGTGAATACATTTTTCTTCACTAATTCAGACTGGTCGCATTTTATCACAGTGTGCAATACAGAATCGCATGTCACTGTACAGCAGCACAGAACATCTCACTGCAGTACAGCAACATAAAGTGTACTTTTGTACACTTCAAATAAAGTTGAAACAAAAAAGGCAGTCGTGTTATGCACTGAATTGCGCCCCCTACCACAGTCGAAACCAAAAGATGCCAGAAAGGGAACTGCTGCAGTTTACCTCTCCAGCAGCTGTTCATTCTGTATGCATTAGCCCTGAGCCCTGGTTCACACCGGAGACTTGTCATGCAACTATACAGATCAAAGTCACATGACAAGTTGCACACAACTTGTGGTTATGGAACCGTTAAAGTCAGTGCAACTCAGTTGCACAGATTTGAAGAAAGGTTGCTGCACTATTTTACACCATTTCATGTGCAACTTGCATGAAGTCGCACAGATGTTGGTGAGCCGCACCGATCGGCAGGTTTGAAATCGTGCTGAAATATTTCAAAGCCACATTCTGTGTGAACCAGGTCTTAGAGTAACAGGTGGGCTGAAAACACTTTTTCCAAACTCCCTCTGCTGGTGACATGGCCAAAGGCCTAGGTATTTAGCTGGGTGTTCTCTGATGAAAGGAAGAATCAGACTGCCCGATTCTCCCCTTTGAGATTGTGTGACCAAATGTCTAGATTTTTGGTTATATAAGCAGCACTGGAAGGAGCATAAAGCTGCATTTTCTCCACAAAATGTCAGTATTTTATGCCTTCTACTACTCTTAGGTTCACACGTTTGTACGGATGGTATGGCTCACGTTTGTGTGGTCACAGCAGCCTTTTCATTTGAATGCAGCCACATGGAGATGCAGCATCATGTGGTTTCACGCACCTGCATTGAGGGGGTGGGGGGGTAGCATGGGGCATTCGGAATTAATAGCACCCTGAGCATCTGCAAAAGAGCAGCACAGTTTGCCTGCAGGTCGGAAAATGCATGCGCTTAGCATTCGTTCCCCGGCTCTCATACGTGTGAAACTAACTTTAAATCGATTCTAAAAGGTTAATTTGTCTGGGGGGGGGGGGGGGGGAATAACAAACATGTTGTCTACTGTGTGCAGTGGTTTTGTACAGAGCAGCCTGGATCCTCCTCTTCTCGGGTCCCCCCGCAGGCTCTCCTGGCCCTCCCTCCCGTCGGGTGCCCCCACAGCAAGCAGCCTTCTATGGGGGCACCCGCTGCTCCATGTGTCCATTCACACATGGAGCCATGGTTTGACCCCCCCACCCCCTTTCCTCATTGGCTGACTGCCTACAATTGAAAGCAGCAGGAGCCAATGGCTCCCGCTTGCTGTCTCAGTTAACAAGGAGGCAGAGACCTGGGCCAACCAAGGCTGTCATGCACATCGCTGGATCACAACGATGCTCAAGTAAATATTGAGGAGGCTGGGGGGAACTGCTGCACACAGGTGGTTTTTTACCTTCATGCATAGAATGCATGAAGGTAAGAAAACCTTGAGCCTTTACAACTACTGTAATGTATTTAGCCTAGATTGGAGTTGTATGTAAATATTTGGGTACAGGTCAGCTTTTTTACTACCTAATTACATTAGAATTACCTATAAAGAAAGTGTTAAATATATTTAGTAAAACTATAGGGTTTTTTTTTTCTGCAAAAGAAAAAAAAAAAAAAAAAAAAAAAAAAAAAAAAAAAAAAAAACTTTGTTTCTAATAAATAGTTTTATAATCTGATCTGTGTTTCTAAACCTCTATATTGCGTCCCTCAGATATGCATGCCTGACTTTCTATTCACAAAGCAGGGAATGCCAGTTTGAATGTTTAATGCTCTATTTAAAAGCAAACACTTGATTGGCCACTGTATGCAGCACCTCTGTTTATTTTATATTTAATACTCTAGAGTTTTTTGAATGTATTACAGAGCAGTGCTTAATAAATTACCTTTTTGTAAAGATCTGTTAATTTGAAGTAAAAACAGACGACAAGAGAGGCATCCAAACCGCAGATAAGGGCTAAGTCCTGTAGTGCTTGCAAGAAGGGAGTTGGCATTCATGCGAGGCCTTTCAAAATTTGCCACCCAAGCCTTTAATGCAAGAAAAAATTATATATATAATAATGCGCCAAAATGACTATTAGGGAGGTACAATTAGGATGCATTTTACCAGAAAACGACAACAAGTGTGGTGAAAATAAAAGTACTCTGACAGACATGGTAACCTATTAGGTAGAGCATCTCAAGCAAAACCTGTCTGGTTAGACAAGTTAAAGTTTACAAAAAAAACACTATTTGGGCTTAGAATGTTTTGTATCAAGGCTCCATGCACACTAGCATTTATTATAAACTCAAAAAACACTAGAAAAAAATGCTGGATGAAAACTGCTAATAGTGTTTTTCTGCCGGCTTGTAGTAGTGTTTAGGATGATTTGCGTTTTATTAGCGTTTTTACAGTACATGAAGAGAAAAAAAAAAAAAAAAAAAAAAAAAAAACACCCTTGAGAAAAATCTGTTAGGAGCATTTTAGTAGCGTTTAGAAGCATTCAAAGTTTTTTTTTTTTTTTTTTGCTGCTAGGAAAAACGCTAGCAAACTCTACAAAAAACAGCGTTTTTATCAGATTGAAGATGTGTGGCCCAGTCCCTTTGATCCAGGCAGTTGTGGCTGTGATAGGCTGCTTTCTAGTTTTACAATGATGGGATGTGGACTGCAGAGATCTCTAGACAGTGAGTTTCTGACCATCAGATTATCTGGATTGCTTAAGGCTGTCAGATTCACGGTGCCCCTTGGTGGCTGATGTAAGCTACAGACGTGGCATTGTCCGATTTCACCCTGATTTGGTGTCCATGAAGAACGGGGCTCAGCAATTTGTAGAGCCATAAAAACTGCTCTGAGGTTCAAGATAATAATGAGGAGCTTGGCTGAAAGACTGGTGTCTGTTATCACTTTCCAGTGATAGGGAAGGAAAGATTTCCCTATTGTTAGGGCAGGGCTTGAAATCCACCAAAATAGGGAGTTATTTTTGTGGCTGGACAGGAACATGGGTAGGTCAAGAGAAGGAGCATGCTTGTTGCAAGTCGACAAGATGTTTTGGGAGAGTTCCTGAATGCAATGGGGCAAATGGTACAACCTTGAAGGAGGCCATCATGAGGGCTCGATCTCTCACTGAGATTTACATTGTGGGCTGTCTCCTCAATCACAATTCTCGAGCATGGGCTCTCGAGAAAACTTTTTTTTTGAGAAAACCTTTGCTTGGGATGTGTCCAGGACCAGACCCAAAATTTTCATGTCAAAGAGAAGGCTGGAAAGCAGATTTTTTAAAATGTATCATTCATCTGAAAGCCTTGGGAATCTGAATTAGCTTGTGGACATTTGCCAACAGCTGGAAGGGATATGAACCCTTAAGGAGAAGGTCAACTAGATCTCCTGTGACCAGGATGCCCCAGAGTTCTGAGAAGAGCAAGACGTGCTAGGACCTTTGTGAATACTCTGGGAGCAGGGGATAAGCCAAAGGGCTGTGTCACAAACTGAAATTTATTGTCGGTCATGTAAAATGCAGAAAGTGCTGATGAGCTGGATAAATGGGAAAATGCAAAAAAATAGTCAATATGGTTGTATATGGATGCCATGTATTCCCCTTGTCGAAGAGAGGCACTTACTGATGTCGTGGATTCCATGCAAAAAGTTTGGAGTATGAAGGTATTTGTTGAGGGATTTTAAGTTCAGAATAGGACAAATACCCCACTGGGCTTTGGTACCATGAACAGGATTAAATAAAATCCTACGAGCCCCCCCCCCCCCATCTGAAACCACCAATTGAACCCACAGGTTTGAGATGTCTGTGACCTAGAGAGGCAAACCAATAGGTGTTGCCCTACTCTTAAGAGTGAGGGCAGCCAATCATTCGAAAGAGGGCTTTAGGGAAGACTTACTGGGCTTTGTGGTCCTAATCATGTGTCAAAATAAGAGTTCAACTTTTGAAATTGAAGCCTGAGTAGAGTGGTTAGGTACTTTGCATTTTGAGGAGGTGAAGGCACTTGGGGCGAAGGGTTTTGGAATATTTTGCTGTAGGAGTAAAGCCTTCCCCACGGAGAAATCTTTGATGAACTGATGTAAGTGCATCTTCAGACATCTTCCTTGAAAAACTATACGTGTGAGGCACTTTATACAGGCAGCCTCAGCTGTCCAGGCTTTTACCCTTATGATTCTGTGTATTTGCATAGAGATTAGGGCCACTATGAGAATTGGTCTCATAACATGTTCAAGAGCATCCAAAAAAAAAAAAAAAAAAAAAAAAAAAACACAACAGAAGATAGTTTCTGTAAGTGCTTTTAAAGCACAATTCTGAAAAACAATGACACCCTGGTTGTTCATTGCCTTAGTCCAGTTAGGTGTAGTATGAGATACTAAAATTGCAGCGAAAGCTGGTTGCAGGGCTAGCCCTGCAAGAGTAAAGAGCTTTCAGGAGGAGAGTTTCAAACCTTTTATCTATCTGCAGTACCTTTGAAAGAAGGAACATTTACAATAGGAACAGTTCAGCTAGATCCTGTTTAAGACAGAATCAACCACCAACAGACAGTTTCTTTGTGAATTCGTTTTCCACTGGAGTTCAGCAAAGATTTGAGGGGGGGAATGGCAAGATGGAGAATTAAGCTGCAGAATGAATCAGATGCAGAGACTGGTATTCAGCTAGATTTGCAATGGGCGTATTGTCATTGAGATTGAGCATTGTGTGGGTCTTCAGTAAAGCAAATGTTTGCCTGCAATTTTGCAATGGCCCCCTATTTGCCAGATCTCCACCATAGCTATGGGTGGAGGTATTCCACTGTAGGGTACTCATGGAGTAGGGGGTGAGGAGTACAGGGTAAAGCATATTCAGAAGGAAAATGCAGCAACCCGTGGGTAGACTGTCCTATAGTATATCCTTGTGGCCAAAGGGAGAGAAGAAGCACTCAAGTATCCTGTATGGGCTCTAGGTGGAAGTGGTGGTAAAATGTGCGACCTATGGTGTGTTGAATGTGAAGATAAAATAATAAAGGAAAAAAAAAAAAAAGTTATTTCTCTGCAAAGGAGAAGAGGTTCATCACTTTAGGCCACTGGCACAAAACAGAGGACTCAGAGTGCAGTACGGTTATTGGGAAAGCCCAGTGGATATGTCTTAAAAAGATTGCCAGTTTCCAATCACCTGAAGGTAGAAGCCTATAACCCAGGTCTATTGATACTTTACCATACATATCTTAATCATACAGTACAGGACACAGGCGAACAAAGAAATACAGTTCCTTTTCAATCTGTAGGCCAGTAGCATTAGCAACATTAAAGACTCTTAAAGAGTCAGTAAGCTTTGGTCTCCTATAAAAGTCAGCTGTCAGCCCCTTTCACTGCTATTCAGGACACATTTTCTTAAGGGCTCATTCACACCAGAAGAAATGGGGCCGTGTTAGCCATTTCCAGCGCACCCCAATGCAAAGACAAGGCAAATTGCATATAGTGCTTTCAGTGCAGCAGGTTGCGACACAAACTACTGTGTCACAATGCCACCACAGTGCATAGAATTGTATTGTCACTTGTGACCTTTCACTTAAGCTCTGTGATAAAGTAAACAGTGCATTGCCCCCATGCATAGCTTGTTGCTGGGTTGAATGGGACTTAACTGAAGAGTAAAGTACAGGTTGGCCGGGAAAGGGAAAACCAACTGGTGTTTTTTTGGGTTTCTTTAAAATCTTGATTGTAAACCCTCGTCTTGTAAAACAATCCATTAATTTAAGAGAGAAATGAAAGGCAAAACATTGTCTACAGATATATAAACCGTATTTACCCTTTTTTATAAGTGATCACAAACTCTGTTCTCAGGTGCATAAGAGCTAAGGGGGGGCAGGGAAAAACAGCAGAACACTAATCTTTCTAGTGAAAGGCTGTGTAGGGGGTGTGTGTCATGACAAGTCTAATTATTGGAGGATAGCAGGCTGAGTTCCCAGCACAGCTAGAGAGCTGACCACAGTGTGTTCTCCTGCTTAGTTTGGTCAGTTTTTAATAGGAAAGCAGAGGGACTGTCAGGAACACCAAGGATACTTTTCACATAATACAGCAGGCACATATCAGGAATATGAAATGTTAGGTTCACATATTCCTTAAAGCAGAGCTATTTCTATGGGTCACAAGTCAGACATTCTACCTACCTTCCTCTCCAGGTGTCTTTCCAACCGCGTCAGTGCTTCGGTCTCTCCTCCAGGCCACACAGCAGATGGCAATCCTTCTACATCAAACCCTAATGGATGATTATAAAACATAACTTTAGATCCTCCTCTCTCCCATTTTTAATCTACACAACATAAAACATGAAAATGTGGTGCATTTCTTTTGCCAAGCATAAAGAAACAATCCATAAATTGAATTAGATTCTTGATCATGGTCAATACGTTAACTCCTTGGAGCTAGCAGTCCAGGTAAATCCATTTCCGGCAAAGGGACACATGCCGACAAAATCTGACTCCTGGCACAAAAGGATCAGAATTTAGAGCAAGTTGGCTTTAAGTGGTCTGTTTGTATAATTTATATTTAGTAGAGATTTTTGTCTAAGAAATTTAAGAAAATATAGAGAAAAAAAAAAAAAACCCACAATACAAAAAACATCTAACAAACTAGGACAGACAAAACACCTACTAAAAACACCAAAATAACGCTATTCAGGACTTTCTGACACATTGCACCCCCTCTAACCAACACATAGGAAATATACAAATGTCTTTGCTTAAAGGGGTTGACCGCCTTCAGATAAGCTTTACTTATTTTCTTGTACATATTCCTCTGAAAAGAATTGCACAGCTTTATCTTTCAGGATTATTTTTTTGCTTTGCTGCCATGCTGTTACATCAGAAAAGGTGCCTCTATCCATTGCCCTTGGATATGATAGAGCTCTACTTAATTGAATACGACTGTCTTTAAAGGGCAGAGCTGTACTATCTCCACGAATGACAAAGAAGCTGCTGTGCCTGATGACAAACACATGGTTGGAAAGCACAGGAAGAGGCCAGAAAGACAAGGTCCTGCATTCAGGAGCAGTTGCTGGTCCATAAAAGCCAATAAGTTGAAGATGACTGCAGGTTTGAAACCCTTTAGTTGTAATCAATGCAAAAAAGTAAAAAAAAAACATTCTGTCCTAAAGCAGAAAATTTGAATTTAAAGTTCTGGACTAGAAAAATGATCTGCCCCAATCTTCAGTACACACCACCAGTCCTGAATAGGGTTCAAGTGTATATCAAGCCAACGTTTTTCCAGTTTTAAATAGAATGGGGTAGGATGAAAACTCCTCTTGAGTTTTTTATACTGTTATCCGGGCTCCATTAGTGATGTTTTCCCTTGCTTCCAGTCCTGCTGACAACAGTTTTCCCAGAAAGGAAGTGAGGGAAGATCGACAATAGGGACATACACAGAAACAGAAGTCTGACAAGGGTTGTAGCTTTTCCCCTACTCTACTGAAGAAAAAGCATTTTTGTTTCTGCTGCTGAAGAATCCTCCTCACTTCCTGTGTGGTAAAATGTTGTCACCAGGACAGGTAGTGAGAATAAACCTAAGAGTCCCAAACAATACAAATCTGACATGGGGTTAGCCCTTCCCCACTTCAAAAACTGAGAAAAAAAGTTTTGATTGGACATACACGTTAAGATGAGATTGTATGGTCACATCTTAGATAATTTAGGAATCTAGGATTTTATTTTTTGGTAGGAAACATTAACATAAGTTAGATAAATGCTATTGAAGTCTTCACTGCTCTATGGGCTTATCCCATAGGTCCACGTTGCTGCACATCTGCTGTGCCTTGTAGACATACAGGCTAGGCCCTGCCACACTGTGGCTCTCTTTACAAACATGAACCCCACCTGTGCCGCCTTCTCACTGGGTTTTCGCATGCGGCGAGCTTGATTACCACGAATCCGGCCAGAGCTGGAGCAGTTGGCATCACCAGATCGCTGAAGTCAGCGGGAAAGTGATGCCACCACCCTTTTGTGTCCGTTTGTGATGTCTTGCAGCCAGAAAGTTACCCCACTAGATGTCAGCCTAATGGCACCGTGGCACCCTGTCTAATTGAGATCCTGGCAAAAAAAGCTTGGTGAGAATAAAAAAAAAAAAAAAAAAAACTCTCAATGCTTTATTTTAGAGAGCAGGGACTACGTTTTTGTTGTTGGTTTCCTGAAGAACTTACAAAGAGCTGTTATTTCTGTTATTTGCAAAATTCTGGAGGAAAAAAAAAAAAAAAAAAAAAAGGTTTTTATGAAGTTCACAAATGATTAACGTTTCAAACATCTGTTGCTCAGTTGGGGGATGAAACCAAAAAAAATGAAAAAGTTTCTCTGCATATTTATTAAGTGTAAATATCCAAGAGAGTTGAGGATATGCCTCCATATGTCGGTAATTTAGCACAGTTTTTTTGATTCTTTATTTTGTAACTTTTAAATTACTCCAAACAAATTGCATGAGATTCAGTTTAATAATAAGCTACTTCGATATAAAACAAAATGCTTTTAATTATCTGCAATACAGGAGTGAGATTTTTTTCAGACATGCATCCCATTGCTGGTAAATGTGGCACCAAAGAGTTAAAGTTATTTTCTTTCTAAAAAAAATTCAGAATTAGACATCTGTAAGCCTTCCCTAAATGCCATAAGTATATTCATATTCACATTAAGGGCCTAACATTTTGTATACAGCTATTGATAATATAGTGTACTGTGCTTAAGTATTTAAAAAAAAAAATGGTACCCATAGCACATATTACAGGGAGTGGAGCAGCAACAGGGGGGCACAAAACGCACAAAGCTGAGGAATTTGCAGAGAGGTTAAAGATTTTTTTTTAAAAAGCCAGCGTTAAGCAGTCATGGTGATATATGCTCTGTGGTTGCATTACGTTACTTAATTTAACTCTGCAAATACAAGTTTAACACTTGTGGATTTCAATTTTAAAATGTGCCACCAAACATATAGCTATTTGCAATATGAAAAAAATTGACTCCTACCATGCTTGCACTTAGGGCTGTAAAAGCCAGGGGACGCTAGGGAGCTGGACCCAATGTACAATTACCAAGTGTGCAAGCATTCACACCTATGTGAACTTTTAGTGTTCCCGTAGCCAAATCAAGATGAGGGGAAAAAAATAATGGCTTTCGACGCAAAATAATTTAAACATAAATGTATATGAATAAAACACATCAGTCCTGTCGTAAACATAAATGTATATGAATAAAACACATCAGTCCTGTCGTAAACATAAATGTATATGAATAAAACACATCAGTCCTGTCGTAATCAGCAGTTGAGAAAATAGCTTCTGGTTCATAGGGATGTGGATGCAAGCTCGGAATACAGAAACACATTATTTTAGTAAGGAACTGTCATTTTGTTCCATAAAGTCAACAAAGTTCCGTGACATTGCGTTTTCCACCACTAGCAGATCACAGACTACCACCACATGAGGGATCCAAGTAGTTGAACATAGGTTCATATTAGAAGCCTGCACTTACATTGCCTTACACAGATAAAATTGGTTTTAGTAACTTGGTACCAGCAATATGCCAATAAGCAAGCGGCCATGATGTATACATCGAAAACAAAATGCTTAGATTGAAATAGAGTACCTCGCACATTTTTTTAATTTTTAAATGGGGGTAAGGAAGGGATAGAATCTGTCAGTTTGTTTATCATTGTCTGTGTCTATGAAAGTGATGGGAAATCCAAAATTTTACAGCAGGAATAGAAGGGGGGCTTCTGTTCTGGTGACAACTAAGAGGGGATTTCCCATCACTTTGGAGAGATTTCCTTTCCTTTCCTGCAGGACTCCAAAACAGGTGGGGGAATATCCCCAAAGGGGACACAAAAATTGCATTTAAAATAATAATTAAAAAAAAACAAACCGCTAAATAGAATTTTCAAAGTTTTGGATGGAAGTAATAATTTGTACCATTTTAGCTTATACTGGTAGAAAACCATGCTATGTTCAGACTTGAAACAGATCTACTGAGCAAAGCCTGGTCAAATATGATCAAGCAGGTTAGCCAGAGAGTTCCCCCAGGAAAGCCAAAGGACAGACGCTGCCGACCACAACACCAAATTAACTTGGGCTCTTGTGATTCTGTCATTCAGCCTGAATCAGAAATCCTCAGCATAATCCAAAAGGAAAAAGCGCACACTGATATGTCCTCACAGGCACAACTCCGCCAACAAGCTAAGCACATGATCACGCCGTTAGGAACACACTCCTCTGACATGTTTCACCCAATGGGTTTAAGCATATGATTCAAGTCAAAGTTTTGACTTAAGACATCTGTGTGCAGATTTTCCTTTCGATTATACTGAGCTATGTGTGGAGGAGTGAAACTGTAACTAGCCCCTGTTTTTAGCATAAGAGGGTAGAGCTTGGATACTTTGAATGGTGCCCTTTGCTTTGACTCTACAAACTGAATCAGAAAAGATTGAAAAACTATATTTACTATGGCCTGTGGCTGATTAGTGTGATTGCTGGGTTACCAGATTTTCAGATGGAAAAAAAGCAATGCTACAAAACCCTCAACAGGTTGGATTTGCATTTTAGAGAGAGATGATGGGTTGGAAAGATGGCAAAAAGCCAAGGAAGAAATGCACTTGCTTAACAGCTGCAGAAAGAAAAAGCAAAACCACGCCAAAAGGCCTTTTCGGTTTTGCGGAGATTAGCCTGCAAAAAAAGCTACAGAATTTGCAGGCTTGAGCTGATAAGGCTACATGAAAGGTGGCTCCAGCTTCTTACAACAAATAGGGGGTCCTCCATGAGCACTGCTTTTCAGTGCTCATACAGCACCAGCAATATCTGAATGGTTAGGCTGTAGCACCACGTTTAACTAGCAGAGGCAGTGTATAAAACTTGAAGAATAAGGTGCAGCCCCCTGTAAGTGAAAAAGTCTCCAACAGGGGTTCAGCTTTCATGTAGTCTACAAACAAAACTGTCAATAAAAAATGAGTGTAAATCCAAATAACGGTAAACTGCACCTGTAAAACTAGAACTTGTCCAAATCAGGAAGCATTAAAGTAGATAGTGTCAGATCACATTGAATTGAAGTTATGAGGATATTCAATGTTTCTTTCCAATAAAACATTTTGTTACACATTCCAAAGATGATGAACTACATTACAGATTCATACCTAAACTTTAACTAGTAGATGATGAATAAATACAGACCCCATATTCACCTACGATATGGATGCCATTTTAGTCACAATGACTGAGTTGAATTTTAAACCCATCTAGCCATAAACATGTTTTCAGGTTACCAATAAATATACAATAACATACCTAATTCTTCCAGAGAAGGGACACCGTACTTCTCGTCATGATCATCGGACACTGGTGTGGCGCACTTATCCATTACTTCGGCTGTAATGGTCTCAGTTGGCATCTCCAGTGGCTCCATTTTGCTAATAAGTGTTTGGAACCTCTTGTAAGTCAAAGGTGGCTGCCCACCATTCAACTCAATAATCCTATTGAAAGACAAATAAAGCTGTGTCAAGAATGTACTTACCATAGAATTGTGTGCAAGAAACATACATCTGAATTCAGACTTAAACAATACCTGCCTTCCAAAAAATAAATAAAAATAAAAAGACAGCCTGCTTTAACAACTGAACTATGTGGCCAAAAAGTCGTGGACCTGTGACAATCACACCTACTACACAAACAAAAAGTATGCGGGCAACCCTCCAAATTATTGCAATCAGGTGTTTCCAATGAAGGGTACTGTTAATGCTACAGCATACAAATGGCTTTTAAACAATTGTGTGCTTCCACCCTTGTTTATTAATTTGGGGGAAGACTTTTCTGTTCCAGTATGACTGTGCCCCTGTGCACAAAGCCTGCTTTCGCGTGGAGGAACTCCAGTGACTTTTACAGGACCCAGACCTGTACACTATTAACCACTCGCCTACAGGGCACTTATACCCCCTTCCTGCCCAGGCCAGTTTTCAGCGCTGTCACACTTTGAATGACAATTGTGCGGTCATGCAACACTGTACCCATATGAAATTTTTATTATTTTTTTTGAGACAGATAGAGCTTTTTTTTGGTGGTATTTATTCACCTCTGTTTTTTTATCTTTTGCTAAACACACCATAAACCACTGAAAATTTTGAAAAAAAAATTTAGTTTTTGTTATAAAATTTTGTAAATAAGTGATTTTTTTCCCTTCACTGATGTGCGCTAATGAGGCTGCAGTGATGGGCACTGATAGGTGGCACTGATGAGCATTGACAGGCATCACTGATGGGCACTGAAAGGCAGCACTCATATCTGGCACTGATAGGTGGCACTGATTGGCAGCTCAGATGGGCACTGATATGTGACATTGATGTGCACTGGTAGGCACTGATGGACACTGACAGGTGGCACTGCTGGGGCTACACAGATCATCAGGGCACACTGATCATCAGTGCCCATGTCCCCTCTGAGTAAAGCAGATTACCGCCTCTCCTCTCGAGCTGTCAGGCTAACAGTTCGTGAGGAGAGAAATGCAGATAATTAGCATTTCCCTATTTACATGTGATCAGCTGTGATTGGACACAGCTGCTCACATGACCAAGCCGACATCTTCGGCTTTTTTTCTGTTGATTGGTGATCCGTTGTGTCCGAAGGACACAACGTACCACCGATCGCCGTGCTGTGCACTCCCAGAGCCGCGCATGCGCAGTTAGAATGGGAGGACGTCATACGAGAGAACCGCCTTGCACCCGTCATTACCTTATATGGCAGGCGGGAGGCAGTTAAACAAGTTTGGATTGAACTGGAATGCCAATCCTAAGCCAGGTTTTCTTGTTCAAAATTAATACCTGACCCTAACAATGTTCTATTGGCTGAATAGACACAAATACTCACATATTGAGAAAACCCTCCCCAGAGTATGGAATTTGTTACAGCTGCAAAGGGGAGAAAAGTGGGGATACATAGATCCTATTATAAACACCAAAGCATTAATATGGAGGTCCCACAAGCTCATACAGGTGTAATGGTCAGGTGTCCTACAGCCCTATTCTGAAGATCAGGCACAGTGTTCCAATTGGTCAACTTCACATTCCTCTGTTGATCCTCTGGTGTTGATGTGGAAGATGACTGAATTCAAAGGACTGTTTAGTGGGCATCTGAGGTTTATGCTATGAATGATGGCCTTGTCTGTTAGCTGGCAGCACCCACTGGGGAAATAACTGTCAACATTAGCGAAGGCTGATTTAGGCCTCTTGCACACACAAAATTTACTGATGTTTACACACAAGATCTTGCTGACAGAGGCTGGCAAGTTATGTTCCATAAAGACCTTGTGTACACAAGCATGAACATGCGTATAAGTATATACACATACAATTCTTTGTCTTCTAGCTGTCAGTGTTTCAATTTATGCATATACGCTTATGTATACCACAAGGCTTTAAACACATCGGTGCATTATGTATCTTCACACAACTGGGTGCAATGTCCTATAAACAATGCTCCATTCAGATTTGTGTACAAAAAAAAAAAAAAAAATGCTACATGGCTACAAATGCATAATTTTTACCACCCACATACAACAGGCCTTAATGCAACTCATGTAGCATTTACCACATAAAAGAAGCTGTCTGGGGCTTCTAAAATACTCACTTATCCAAATCATAGAGAGTGTGTGAAATGCGTACAATGACCTCCACACCAGCTTCACTTGCCAATTTCTTGATTGCAGCATCTCGTTCTTTTCCAAATGGTTCAGAGTCATATTCAATAGACAGTTTGCTGATCTTCCACTCCTGGAAAAAGAAAGAAACAGTTTAAACATTCTTTTCCTATAAAGACACAGATTCAGTTAACTACAGTGAATTAATAACATTTTAGTATGGATGAAATGACAGTACAACACGGTACAGGAAGTAGAACAGAAGGCGGCAGTCGATAAAACAAAAATAATAAGAATGATTATGAAAAACATACTTTGAAGAGCCGCGGAAAGACATCAGCAGGTTGTCCGCGGATCACAAACAAGCGGGAATTTAATTTCCGCAGATTAGCATCTAGGTCTTCTAGACATTGCAGCAGGAATCTATATAAAGCAAAATAGATAGACATGTTAGCAACCTCATGGACAACACAAACACATAAAAAGCTTTAATAAAAAAGGTAAAAAAATGCATGACCTCCACTAACCAATCACTGCAGTAATAATTGTTTGCTATTGGTAATTAGACATCAATCCTCTATTAGTGAACACAGGCTAGGCCTCATACATGTATACCTTATAAAAACAGGCAAAAATGAATACCAAAGTACATGAATTCCAAATGGCAATGCTACTATATAAAACACATCCAGCTCAACCTGAATTGATCACCCCAGGAACCCTAAACCACAGGGTGCTACAGTATGCAAAATAGAGTGCCTCCTGTTGTCAATTGCCCGGCCCTCTCAATGATGGGCCAATTGTAAGATGCAATGTCTAGAGCAGTGGTCTCCAAACTGTAGCCCAGTGGCCATATTCAGCCCTTTGCCTACCTTTATCCAGCCCTTGGAGGACTATTCCTCCCACTTACACCAACATTGGGTCAGTATACATTCCACTGACACCAATGATTGGGCACTATTCCTTACAATGACGCCAATGATGGGCCACAATTCCTCCCAATGACACCTACGAAGCGGAACTATTCTTTGCTTCCTTAATACCAAGGAATCACTGTTACTTCCACTGGCCACAGGTCGTCACCCCCAAAAAGTACTGTAAACCGACATATTGCTTAGAGAGTTTGGAGACCCCTGACTACATGCGTTGGCCAAAATTGGCATACCAGATTACCCTACTCTAGGATTTGAGGTCAAGTCCCAAGTCACTAAAGAAGAACTGAAGGCGGACACACACACACACACACACACACACGCACGCACGCACACACACACACACACACACGCACGCACACACACACGCACATACGCACACACACTTGCTTTAAACAGGTTTCACCTAAAAAGGATGGAGGGACGCGTATCTACGTTTTCAAATCATTTAAAATAATTTATTTAGGAATGCTATACTACATGAGCTCCATCATGTGACTATGGTTCTAGACAACATTTAATTAAAGGACAGCCAAAAGCCTGTACAAAGTTGGCGAATACAGACAGAACAATCTGAAATGATCCAATGGAACAAACTGACCTACAAACCCACTTCCATGCCCTGTGTGTCTGCAGGATCAACATCTGCTCCCTGGTATATACGGCTGATTAGCTACACGACTGTACATTCCGTCTGATAGATGGATTAGAACTGTATTTGGATAGGCTTCTGACCTGTAACCTTGTCTGCAGGCTTTACAATAAAGCTATTATTGTTATGAGTAGAACACAAATGTTGAGCACTTGTGACTGAGCTACTGTAATCTGCATATAGATCCCAAATGGCTCAGCATGCATCAGCTATGATTGGTCACTATGTTGTTGTCCTGCTAATATAACATTCTGGGGTCTGTAAAATGCATTGAACCACCACCAAAATATTTCCACCTTCTTAGACAAGGTACTACAATGTCTTGCAATGTATAGGTGGTCATAGCTTCCAACATTCTCCTCATTTGGAGGGACCTTCTCCCTCCCCCCCCACCATCTTTTCTCCCCAGTTTTTACCTAATAAAAAGTATTTTATTACATTACACCTTTCATCTAACAATCAAATATAATGCATCTTGTTATTTACTTCCAACACATGTGCAGCACCAAAAGGGTGGTCTTTAATGACAAGCCGCACACATGCATTGTTGTTGTTGGGGGTGGTTCTTTGTGCTGAGAGCGTGCAGTGCTACACTGAGCTGTCACAGACCACCACTCTTGATCTGGGCTACAGATTAGTAGCTGGCAGGACCCACTTTTCATGGTCTCTGTAACTGGAAGCCTTGCAAGAGGTGTTCTCTGCCAATACACTTTGTGCTAAAAGGTGTCCCCATTTCTCACTTTAGAAAGTTGGGATTTATGGTAAAGTAGCAGTAGATAAGGAGAGGTATCTGAAGATACTTTCACACCCCTAGCAGTAGGAGCTCAGAAATCCAGGTGCTCCATTATGTAAAGGGCTGCAATACCCATGAGGCACTGTGTTCTGAAAATAAGTATGCATTTCCTGATCATGAAAGAAAAACCTAAGGGAAAAGGCTGGCAACTGCATTTTTCAAAATCAGAACCCACAAACACAGATGGAAACTGTGCCATTTATACAATTCTAGTTGTTTCTGAAGGCAAGCCACAAAATGGAAGAATTGGGCCCTAACTGTGGGTGATACAAGAAAACAACTGCACAAATAGGGGCTTTCAATAGGAAGAATGTTTAAGGTTCATAAGCAGAAATCTAGCCTTCAATACGGATGTCAGTTTGTGAATTAGGAGCTTTAACCTGCCCCTTAATGTACCTCATAACTAGTTTACCACCAGTAACTGAGTACCTTCGACAACCACCAGTTAAGAATGGGAGGCGAACAGGGGCAAGTCAAGAGTTCCAATTTCAGGAAGAGACATCAATGCCATGAGGGCTCCTGAGGCACAGGAAACTACTTTAGGCTCCTGCGCTTGAAAAAAAAAAAAAAAAAAAAAAAACATCCACTTGTTTTATATCTTTTTACAAATACACTTTATATATATTATAAAAAATACAATTGCTTCTTGTAGATACAGTAACTTCATTTTATATGGAGAAAGGAGAAATACTTTACCAATACATATTTTTAAATGTAATTGATGCTTCATGTATCCTTTGTAGTTTATTCATTCACAGATTGCTGTGAAGGAATGATGCAACTGTGAAGGCAGAGGCCTGCACAACCGATCCAGTTTTAAAAAATTGTGACAGCAGGCACGGGAGAAGAACCCTAGCTCACTGTCACAGTTGGGGAATCAGGAGTACTGCACAGTAACAGGTTACACCCTAAATACAGGTGCAACATGCTATTAAAGGTCAATTTCAGTATCCTTTAAGCCAGTAAGGCTGAGTTCATACTGCTGCGATCCCAAAGTCATGCTACTTTAGTGATGCAACGTTGCAGTCTATGGCACTCAGGTCACAGAAAAGTAGTACAGGAACCTTTTGTCGCATTAAGATGGCATCCATTGAAATTAATGTGTTTTTGACTTGTCATGCAACGTTATGTGTTAAGTGTGAACCTGGGCTAAGACCGTAACACCACAGGAGCATTTGAATGGTCTCTTGGCAATCTTGTGGCAGTTTATTTACCACCAGGGACAGGAGCTCTCGTGTAATTTTTCAACATTCCATATCACATTCTGAAAACAAATATTTCCTGTTACTAGAGCGTATGCATAACCAAGATTTACAAGATAAAGTACTGTACATGAACAATAAAACCAGCAGACAGTTAACAGCAGCAGACAGTGCATTTAATAAAACTACTTTATGGGATTCAGCATCATATTAAAGACACCTAATCCAGATTAATGGAGTGGCATTTACTACTAAGAATGTCACCTGAGTGACACAATTAGACACTCCAGCCTCTTGTGCGGATAAGAAACTGTATTTGGAAACAGACAGTCCAGGACAAGTCAAAGCTACATAGATGATTAAATATAGAGTGGATTGAGACAGATTTAGATGTTATGTACAGTTCTTTCCTGACCTAGAACAAGGTGCTGAGTCCATTCCTAGACTGAGGACCCATGTTACCTATGGAAGACAGTAATAAACTATTTATATCTGATTGGTTCCTGTATTTTGCACCAACTTCTTTTCGCTCTCCTTGCAGGGATCCCTGAAATGGAAGTAGTGGAATCATGGACAAAATCATAATTTACATGGATTATGTGATGTCATCTACCAATAGCACGAAAAGACTAAGTTCACCTTTTGCCACATCTAGTTGCCATAGTAGGTTAAAGTGATTCTAAAGGTAGTTTTTTTCTTTTCCTTAATGCATTAAGGTAAAAAAAAATATTATAGGATAATTTAAGATACTAATCATCTATGGCCAGCTTTAGGGTTCATGAAGGGCTAAGTGCTGGGCTCATGTTAGAGCTCATGGTAATGCTCTTAAAATTTAATTCTCCCTAAATGTACCATAGTGGTTTAACCGCTTACCTACAGGGCACTTATACCCCCTTCCTGCCCAGGCCAATTTCCATCTCTCAGCGCTGTCACATTTTGAATGACAATTGCGCGGTCATGCAACACTGTACCCATATGAAATTTTTATCATTTTTTTGTGAGATAGAGCTTTATTTTGGTGGTATTTAATCACCTCTGGGTTTTTATTTTTTCTTAAACCAAAAACCACTGAAAATTTTGAGAAAAAAAAATGTTATAAAATGTTATAGTTTTTGTTATATAAAATTTTGTAAATAAGTGATTTTTTTCCTTCACTGATGTGCGCTAACACTGAAGGGCAGCTCAGACGGGCACTGATATGTGGCATTGATGTGCACTGGTAGGCACTGATATGTATGACACGTGGCACTGACAGCTGGCACTGATGGACACTGACAGGTGGCACTTCTGGGGCCACACTGATCATCAGTGCCCTGATAATCTGTGTACATGTCCCCTCTGCGGAATGCCGATTACTGGCTCTCCTCTCGAGCTGTCAGCGTGACAGCTTGAGAGGAGAGAAATGGACACAGGAGAGATTGGACACAGCTGATCACATGACCGAGTCAACATCTTCAGCTCTTTCCGTGGATCGGTGATCCGCTGTGTCCGAGGGACACAGAGCACCGCCGATTGCTGCGTGCTCCCTGAGTTGCACATGCGTGGTGAGAATGGAAGGCCGTCAAAAGACGGCCTATCAGAATGAGAGAACCACCTTGCGCCTGTCATTGGACTATATGGCGGGCGGTTAAATAACTTATTAAAAAACAAAAACAAACCACAGCATTTTTCCATTAGATACTTTTACATTAACCCAAAAGGGCTTTTAAATTCCTGTTACTGGCCACTAGCCTGCACATGTCACATAGTAAGTGCTACACACACACACAGCAATAGCCACAGTGCTCATGCCACTCAATCTATGAGAACAAACATATTTATTTATTACAGGTACTTTTATAGCACC